TCTTCTACCCCCTTGTCTCCATTCACCCATAGTCTCCCTCATCAACCCCAGCTCCCTGTCAGTACCTGCATTTTAATCACTTGCTCTGTCCTGAGAGTCTGTAGGTATTACTACTTCATGTCTGCCCCCTACGAAGCCCTTATTCAGTCTTCCAGGTTCACCTCAATTGTCTTTTCTCCAGCTCCCTCCCTAGACATTCCCCTTTCCACACTTAGGTGGACCAATCCCTCCCTTGGCTCAACCAGCAGTTCCCGAAAGCCTTTCCTGCATTTCAGAACCTTACTCTAGACCTGGAATCAGGAGTTCTTGGTTCTTCTCTTCCACCTCTACAAGCTTACCAGGTGAACTCGGATGACTCACTACATTTCTTTGCAAAAAGGTTTCAGAATTTTGATCATTTGGAGATCAAATTCCAGTCATTCATTAAATAAACATGGAGGACAAATGTTCTTCTCTCCCCTTGTTCACAGGACATTCACACCATTGACTTCTAAACCTATATTGAGAGTAATCACATGTGAGCAGGGCTCTTAGAGCCTCCTGCATCCGTCCTTTGACTGTGCCCCGATGTTTGCCATTATCCTGAGTGATGCTGATACTGCTTAGAGAAGAGCACTTGTGATGATGTGCCTAGCACTGCTCATTTTATGTTCATGACATTCTGTGAGGTAGGCATTATCATCATCCCATCTTACAGACATAGTAAGTGAGACAGAGAAGCTTATGTGTCTTCTCCAAGGCAGCGTGGAATGGTCCCATGACTGGCCTCAAGCTGATGCCTCTGGTCCTGTGCCACCTAATCCCTCAGTGTGGGCCTCCCCATGATGCTTCCTCAGGCCCCAGCACTTCCCTATTGTAGGGACCACTCCAGCAGAGTGAAACCAAACCCCTAGGATGTCTGCCCCCACCACACCCCTGTGCCCGCTGCCCCCACACCTGGGGAAGCTGAGAGTCTGCCTGAGGCTGGGCCGACACAGCTGGAAATAAGAGTATCTCTCCCTGGCAGGGCAGAAGAAACTTGGAAGTGTGGAAATGCCCTGGAGGCATGGGACTCAATTTATATTCCTAAAGCTATAAGATGCTAAAGTAACAACATCATCTAAATACCCCAAAGAAGAAAAGAAGTCTTTGGCAGCAAGTTGTATCTGCTCTGCTAACTTGTAACAGAAGGCTGAGTTTTTATTCCTGTGTTCAGTAACACTTCAGAAAAAAAAAAAAAAAAGTTTGCTAGTAAGCCTATAGTATGTTTAACTTTCAAAATAAAAAAGTGGCAATTATTTCCTCTGATTTCATAAGTCTGGGAATTCCCCCCTGAAGCGTGAATATGCACTTTCAAATGCCATGTGGGATGAGGAAGCTTAAGGGTCTGTTTAGAACTGAACCTCTAACAGGCTCCTTTCTTCCATAATTTCATGGTTTGTTTGGAAAACTGCCTAACTATGACATTGTATCATCTGAAATAATACAAGCCTGGCGTGCTGAGTGATGGCTGAGAGGCAAGCTCCTCTTCTCCAAAAGCACAGGAGATAAAGCTTGAACTCAGAGCTGAGTCAGAAAAATCATTTTAAAAGTGCTAACTAGTACACAAATAGGAATGCTGTGTCACAAGATAACTTCAGATACAAACTCTAGAAGAAGTTAAAGGTACAGAGAAATCTACCCACTATCTTGGTGTTCACTGGAGGTATTTGGTGCGGAAGACAAATGTGACTAATTCTGTCCCAAGGAGAAAAAGAGACAGTATCCCACCTCCTTCATCCCCCTGACTTTTCAGATGTCAGGAGAGCTGGTAGGGAAGCTGCCAATGGCCTCTGAGACAAGGCTGCAGAGTTCAATTTTGATTTTCTCACCAGTGAATGATCTCTAAATGATGTTGTACTTCATTCTGTATTCACACAGTATTCTATTGCCATAGCAACTAGAATGTGTTACCACAAGTTTTCTTATACGCGGTCTTTGAATGCTGCCTCTCCTTCCTTGCACAGCAGTAAGCTCCATGTGACCCCAGGTGGTACCCCCAAGAAGACACCCCCCAACAAGGGTGCAGGGAGGGGCTCTGGTGGCAGAGTGACTGCTCTGAACTGTGGTGGCCTGGCCTGGAAGCCCACATCCCCCTTGCTCAACACACTCCAACCCCATAAGAACCATTCTAATATAGAGACTTCTGGGGGTAGAGAAAGCCCCAGAGAATAAAGTCATAACTTCTCTTTGTAAAGTCTGGTAGGAAAAGAGAATGAAACATGAAGGATTTTAGAATTTTTGTTCGGACAGGTAGAAAGGTATTTTCAAGTTTCCTGGATCAATAACTCCCTGGACATTTGGGACAGAGACAAAGTGTTATCCTTGGAGCTCAAGACAGCATTAAACACTCTGCTGCCATCTTGGGGTGAGGATTGTAGGAAGCTGTCCTTTATACCCACCCCCTTTTCCCCAGGAATCCCATCCTGCCTCCCTCTAGCACTCTGTCCATCCATCACCTCCTGCTCCCTGTGAAAGTCATGGTTCTGGCAAAGATGGAGGTTCTCCCCCAAAGCACCCTCCGAGGGCTCGCCTGCCTCCACAGCCACCAAGGCCCTGGGGGGGTCAATGAACTGCTTGCTGGGCATTCCCTATGGAAACACTAGGGGAGGAGAAGCCGGCTGGCCCTCCTGCCTCCAGGGACTGGAGCTGATGCTGAAACAGAGGCAGTAAAGGCTTCTCTGTGGGATTCAGAGTCAGGGGATGAGGTCTGCAGAAAGGGGAACCCTAGCTGCAGGTGAACATCTTTAGGATGGCTTGACTCTCAGCACCTCCCACCTCCAATCTCCACCTACCAGCAAGCTGTACAAGCCCAAGACCTGTCAGGCAGGAGTCCTTGTTCCTGCTTCTGCATCCCCCTCACAGCTCGTGCATCTTCCTGCTCCAGGCCTGAGGCCACCATGAATTAGATAAACGATGACAACAGGTGTCATTAATACCCAACATGTGTAATGTACCCCCCATGCTAAGTGGTTTCTGTTGATGCATCTTACTTACTTTTCTCCACAGAGCAGGTGGAAACTGTCGGCAGCCCCTTTTTACAGCCGAGCAAACGGCCCAGAGAGGTGGAGTCACTCACTCAAAGTCACACAGCTGGCCTGCAAACCCAGGTCCCTCTGGGACCTTGCCCGCACCTCTCTCCATTGAAAAAGGATTGTTTGGAGATCAGCGCTGCCACGGTGAGTGGGTGGGATTTCACAACATCAGTGAAAACCCCACTGAATCAGGATTCAGTGGATAAATTCAATCAGCGTGAAGCAGAACTGAGACCTAATCTGCTCACCCCTTCCCAACTCTCCCGTCACCCCCTCATCGCAGCAGGTTCTGTAGTGGTTGACTTTCCCTTGTGTGAAATGAGAAATGCTGTTTGAATAACAGATGGTGAGGGAGGCCGTCCACACTCTGATGTAGAAATAAAAACCTTTAGAAAGATACAGTCTTGAGGAATACTGGAAACTGGAGAATGGAACGTCAGTCTATAAAATGCAACACGACCAATAAAGCTGGAGCAAGTGGCCAAGTGTTTCAGTGCTCACGGCTGCCGAGGCACAGGCAGGCCTGGACTGGGCAGGGCTTCCAGGCCTCGGACATTTCTCCTGGGCTTGTTTTGGTTTGATTTCCATATTGGGCCTTGTGATTTCTGAAGTGCCTCAGCATTCATGTTATAAGCATGCCCATTAAAGGGTCCAAAACTCCTCCCATCACAGGATAAACTCAACAGTCCAGAGACCCACCTGCTCTAGGAACCCCTGCCAGGGCCCGTGGGTGAGGAGGGAAAGCTACCTTCTCTAGGGTTACAGGAGGCCCATAGACTTGGGCTCCTGCATCGTGAATCCTCCTGCCACATGGACCTGGTGCCTGGGAGAGTGAGGCCTGAGCTTGGCCCTTTCCTCCTGAAGCCCAGGCCCCCAGCTGCGGCCACACAGAAGTCCCTTCCTGTCAGCATCACAGGCACTCAGGGGCAGCGGGGCTCCATCCCAGCTTTCTCCGCCCCTCCCGGCCCTGCCCCACAGCAGGTCTGGGACCTCAAGCAGGCCCATGTGGGCACCACCCTGCCCCGCAAACCCTGCTCCAAGATCCTGCAGCTCAGGCCAGGGGGCCTGTTCCCACCCGCACACAAGCTGCTTCTGCTGTCTCACATCACCTAGATTATTCATGTGTGGCCATTTGGGCTCAGCATCACAAACACTTCTACAGCCTCTGACATGCACCATTCATTGCAGCCAGATAGACACAGAAATTTGTGGCCTAACTCTCACTTCCTGGAACATCTGTGAGCTGATGACACCTTCTTGGTGTCAACAGGGCCTTGAGCCACATGTTAGTAAGATGATATTCATGCACGAAGAGCCACAGGCCTTGACCCTGAGGCTCTTACCCCCTGCCAGGAGCTGGCACTGCTCTTCTCACTCAAGGACCGGGCATGAACCCCTTGGCCCCCTTCTCCATGGAGATGGTCTGACGTCCATGCAGGACCTTCTTTAGTTTGCTCTGAGGTGCTCTAGACAGGCCAGGCGACCACTCTAGGCCAGATTGCCATGCTGGGAACCTCTGTCCTGGGGTTCAGAGGGGCCCATCTGACTACATTATGCACAGAGTGACCTTCTGATTCACGAGACATAGTCCAGAGGGGTCTGTGCTCCCTGCCACCACCTGGCAGGACCCACCCTGCGAGAGAGACCCAGGCAGTGCCTTTCAGCCTGGACCCTATGGACGTGGGCTCTGCACCAGCCCAGACTTCCTGGGCCCCCTGGTTCTGCTCTCCCAGGCCCTTCCTCAAGGGCAGGGGCCTCTGGAGGTGGACACAAATGCACACGAAACACTGAAACACTGCTGCTGCTTTTAAGGCTCCAATCTTCCTCTTTCTCTATTTTTTAAACACATTTAACCTGTAGACTCAGCACCTGGGTCATTTGTCAGAAAGGCATTAGAGGATCTATGACAAACCCCACAAGCACAGAGGCACGGAGCCGTCTTCCTACCTTTAAGGAAGCAGCCCTTGCTGCGGACCATGACGATCTTCTTCCCCAGCAGGCAGGCAGCCCGGTGGAGCTCACAGTGGTTTTCGTACACCCTCCCGTCTGAGCCACACACAGGCACGTAGCTGGGCCGGCAGGCCTCCAGGCATCGGCACTCGGGCTCCCCCGTCTCCCTGCTGAGCGTACACCTGCTCCCGCGGCTGCACAACTTCTTCCCGCAGGAGGCTGGCAGCTCGTCATGGCTGGAAAGTCCTGCAAGGCACACAAACACAGAGGGTCAGCCGCCAGCACTCAGGGGCACGGGCCAGCTGCATGGTTCTTTCAGGTTGTGTTGGCCAGAGTCTGTGAAGCGGAGGCATTGGGGCTCAGGTGCCCCATGGAGCCCCTGCCCCTCCAATGGATGGTGGACAGGAGTGCTACAAGCAATGCCCTGTCATGCAGAGCTCAGGTTTTATGGTTGGCTCCCAGCAAACATCGCAGACACAACCCCTGCCCATCCTGGGAGGGAGGAGTAAATAGAGGGCCATGTGGAGGTGGTAAGGTACCAACGGACCCTGCTGACTGAGAGGCGGAGGGCTTGCCAAGGGATGGGGGCTTGAGCCAAGGTTCCTATAACCACCATGCAGCGAGCATTTGCCTGCCTTAGGGAGGAGACCTGGCATGAGGAGGGGTTTTGTGCAGGAGTGGGGGTGGGAAGTAAGGGGTAGCAAGAGGTGGGTCTGTCTTGCTAGATTCAGAGAGCCAAGTGGAACTGTAGTCTGATATGTTAGGCACTGGGGAGCCATGGTGGAGACTAGTGAGTAACAGTGGAGTAAGGAGAAGGTGGTTCTCTAAGTGTTTAGGAACGGGGGCAGCCAAGGCAGGGAGGTCAGAGGTTGACCATTTCCTCTGGAAAGAGGACGGTTCTCCAAGACACAGTAGCAGTGGTAGCACCGGCAGTCCACTGCTCAGCCCTTCCCCAGTGGTGCAGATGGTAAAGAATCTGCCTGCAATGTGGAAGACCTGGGCTCAATCCCTGGGTTGGGAAGATTCCCTGGAGAAGGGAACAGCTACCCACTCCAGTATTCTTGCCTGCAGAATTCCATGGACAGAAAAGCCTGGCAGGCTACAGGCCATGAGGTAGCAAAGAGTCAGACACGATAGAGTGACTAATAATAACAACAGTCCTTCTGGCTTAATACTACAGCCTGTGTCTGTGGGCAGGAGGACTGAGACCATGGAAATAGCAGCTGCCGTGATGCTGTGTGTCTCCTCTACCCAACACACACCCATGATGATCTCAGGCAGTGGTGTCCTGAGCTCACACACCACAGCAGTGGGGCAGAGTGGTTTCTTGCTGAAAAGGCCCACTTATGTGGACACTTAAATAAGCATCCATCAGCTACGGGACATTCCTCAGGAGCCCAGAAAACTGGATGATGGCCACGTGGCATTGATGGCAACAGACAGGAAATTGAGAATTATAAAGGGATATCAAAACACAAATAATTGAAACATGTATACAGATTTTACGGCCACAGAAGTCCTTGCTTTTAAGTTTTAATTAAATTTTCTTCAAAATATTGGCAAGACAGAATGGTCCTGGCAGTCAAGACTGAACTTTCCAGCCTCAACTCCTACTCTATGTGATTAAAATGCCTAAGGGAAAAAAAAGCAAAACTTGTTTTTGGTTAAGTCTGCTTTTCATCATTATAGATTTGAAAGGGAAAAAATCAGTTATCAGTAGATTAACTGCTTGATTCAATAACTCATTTAAATTCTTTCAGCCTTGGCAAGCTAAGAAATATTGACTTTTTATTGAATCATAATAAACTAGAAGGTCAAAATATCTCTTAGCAGTATAAAAGTGCAGATCTTAAGTGGGCGTGTGACTCTACTTTGTCCACTTTACTAATTGTTGGCGTGTCACTGCAAAGACTCAATGGCATGCATGGGCCCCCGCTTGCCCTGCTGGCAAGGCTGATGGGCAGAGGAAGCCGGGGTGCTGGCTCCACGGTGGGAGGCTCTGGGCTGGAGGGCCCCCACCCACGGTGTTTATGGCTGCTTTGCCACAGAGCCTCTTTGATTAGCAAAATTCTCCTGGGTTACCCGGGAAAGTGCTGGCGGCTACCAGAAGAAACTAACAGACTCTAAAAATATCAGCCTTTGTTTCTTTCCAAGACAATGCCAGGACCCAAAGTGCTGCCTTTGTATGACTATTCTCACCAACTTTCCCGTGTGATGTGAAGGACACCCACTAGTGGCTCTATTTAAGAAGCCGAGCCCAGTTTTCTGAGTCTCTGGTCTCACAGTGCCTGCTTTGGGGGCTTTGCCCTGGCTGGGCTGCCCACTCAGACAGGCTGTGCCCTCTCTCTGGGTACCTCAGACTCAGTGTACCTCTGGGGACCATTTGCTGCCCCTGCCAGTTGGAGTGCCCCCTCTCTGAATCCCCTGAGCCCAGGAGGGCCTGACCAACTCTCTGGCCTCAGGAGATCCCCAGGGTACAGAGACTTTGTTTTTTTGCTCCTGCCCCCATCACTGGCTCAGGATTTATGAAACACAATAGTTTTCAAAGCTGTCCTCCCTAACTCTGTTTAACTCCCAGGCTAGAAGCTGGGATGGGAGGGTAGAGGGGGCCTGTATGCAGTGATCTGCTCAGGGGTGCATTTCTCTTGCTTTCTCCAAGTGGGGATCTGGAGGGATGACAGTATGAAGGAGAAACAACTGTTTATAGAGATGGGCCTTTCCTGGGGTACCGGGGGCTGGAACCAGGAGTGGCAGAGCAGGAAGGCCCTTTGGAGACCACCTAGTCCAGTGAAAACATCAAAAGAAGGGCCAGTTTGCATGGGCGGGTGTGGGGAGAATCCCGTCTACCTCAGGTCTTTCCGATGTGGAAATGGGCTGTTGGCACATATGTGATTCCTAATGATTTGCATTGAGGATGAAAGTCACTTGAAAGCCCTGTACCGCCCTTCCCCATCTGTGGCCAGCAGGCCCACAAAGAGCTGAGAACAGTGTGCACGGGGGTGGCCTGGATCCCTGGCCCTGTCACCGAGACACCCGCCAAGTGTGGTTTCATAAACGAGTCCCTTGTCACCACTTCCTCCTTGTTATTAAAACAGAATGAATTCCCCACTCCTACCAGGACGATGATAAACCAGTAATGGGAAAGGTAACCAAGTGAGACTGCCAGAAACTGCCTACAGTATTTATGGGGACAACCATGATGCCTGGAAAAGATATAATGCGCTTAATTTATAGTCATAAAGAAAGTCATTTACCCAGGTTAGAAACTGATCATCTCACCAAATAAGTGCTTTTCAACACTAATTAAATTTACTGAACACAATCAGACATGGGAATTGTTACATGAAAGTTATGGTGGCAGAAGAAACAAGTCCATCTGTACCAGTCAGTGCTAAAGCCTCCCTCTGCGATCCAAATGAGGATTCTCCATGTGACTGCCCCAGACCTGGAACTGCTACCTCAGGGCATGGGTGGAGGCGGTGGAGGTCAGCAGTGGTCAGACAAGCCACCCAACTGGAGGGGAGGGATCAGAGGGAGCAAGCCTTCCCCATTCACCCGGAGCAGAAGCCTTCCTTGTTTTGTCACCGTTGACCGCAGGGCAGAGCACAATTTGGCTCTTCTGCTTCCAAACTCTGACTCAGTCTCTGACTGGTTCCTTGCACAAGGTACACCAATGAGCAGGCGTCCTCTCCCAGCAGGATATGGGCTGAATGCCACAGGAGGGGAAACCCCTTAGTGTTCCACTCTGGGATGCTCATTGCTTTTGGGTCCATTTGCCCAGTGCAGTGTTCTGTCTGATAACTCAGCCTCGGCTCACCTACTGAGGAAGCCCCTCCCCTCACACGGGCTGTGGAGGTCATTCTAGGTCTCTCGATAAGCAGTACTGCCTCAGTCCCCTCCAGCAGCCTCAGTCCCCCGGACAAGGGGTGTAGCTGAAATCCCTACTACCTGGCCCCACCCCGCCACAAAGCCCTAGTGAGGTGATGGCGTGGTTCTATGGTGGCTGCAGAATCATGAGTCATGTACAGATGTGACAGCTGGACAGTAAAAAAATAAATAAAAAGGGCTGAGTACCGAAGAATTGATGCCTTCAAACTGTGATGCTGGAGAAGACTCTTGAGAGTCCCTTGGACTGTAAGATCAAACCAGTCAATCTGAAAGGAAGTCAACCCTGAACATTCTTTGGAAGGAATGATGCTGAAACTGAAGTTCCATTACTTTGGCCACCTGATGCAAAGAGCTGACTCACTGCAAAAGACCCTGATGCTGGGAAAGATTGAGGGCAAGAGGAGAAGGGGATGACAGAGGATGAGATGGTTGGATGGCATCACTGATTCAATGGACACGGGTTTCAGCAAACTCTGGGAGATAGTGAAGGACAGGGAAGCCTGGCATGCTGCAGTCCATGGGGTCACAAAGAGTTGGACACGACTGAGTGAGTGAAAAACAACGGTGGCTGCACGCTCTGCAGGGCCCAAGATAGGCCAAGGGGAGTGCGATGTGGACACTGAAGATAAGAGGCAGCAAATGCAGTCCCAGGAACTGGCCACCCTGCCTGCTGATGGCCTCATTGCTGCCTGCCACGAACTCCTGCCTGTCACTGCAGTGGTCTCTGGTTTCTGCAGACAGAATGTATCTGTACAGGGATGAAGGGCCCACCTGTCAGCAGGCATAGGCCCTTATACACAGATTATATGCGTTACTTTCTGTGCATCGATAGGGATCCAGCAGGGAGCTAAAGCCTATATCTTGTGCTGTGGGCAAATTTTTGAAAGACCTAGAGTGAGGGCTTGCATTTGGAAGAGTGTGTGTAGAGGAGCAGTGATGTGGGCTGTATCAGCTGGAGCTGGGTAATGGTCACAGTACTTGCCCACATCTTCCCTGACAACTCAACCTTAGACATGCCCAAGATGGTCTGCAGACAGAGTGTCTGGTAAACTTGGAATCCGTCATTATAGAAGACACCCAAGTGCCTCGGAAGTGGCTGCAAAATTCAGGTTTGTATGAGAGCCAGGCAGAGACCCAGGTCTAGAGCCAGTGCGGTTTCTACATACCATGTGGAGTTGGGGGTGGCACTTCAGGAGTGCTTGCTAGCCAGCTCTCCATCCACCCATTCATCCAATAAATATTTATGGGGCACCTGGAAATGGCAACCCACTCCAGTATTCTTGCCTGAAGAATCCCACGGACAGAGAAGCCTGGTGGGCTACAGTCCATGGGGTCGCAAAGAGTCGGACATGACTGAG